TGATATGCTGTGCTAAAAATTTTCTGTCAAGCTGCCTCAACCTAGGAATAGGACCAACTGGGTTGCAATTGGCATCACTTCAGACAAATACGTCATCAGGTTTGTGGCAAGTTGCTAATTGAATTGACTAAAATTTGATGCACTTGACGCTTTTATTTCTTGTGGGGTTTTTCTTATGTTTTCTGTGAGGTGGTTGTCACCACTCTGTTTCCTGTGAAGCTACTGGAAAAGCAGGATGCAGTCTGCGTTTTGCTGTGTGGTAAAAGGATTTGTTGAAGGCTGCTAAATCTGCTGGGGCTATTGAGGGATTCTTGAGAGCAGTAGGGGACCTATCGTACAAACTCCTCCACAGGGTACTGAGCAAGATGGAGCTTTGGTCTGATCCAGCGTGATGGTTTTTGCAAATCATCAGCTCCTTTTTCCTGAGGTATCTGATGCTCTTACAATCAATCCGTTGAGCTTTAGTCTTGGGGAGTTGAAGTTGGACTAATCACAACCTGCAGAGGCTTCAGGCTGATGTGCTGCCTAATGAAACAAAACATCTTGTGTTTTTTCTTAGGGAAGAGTTTTGTTTTCTTTCATAGATGGCTCCAGTTAAGGTTGTTCTTGTTGTATTCAATCAGTAAAACTCTCTTGTGTTTTAACAGTGGTAGTTTCAGCCTAGAATGGATTAATCTTCAGTAGAACAAGGGACTAGAAAGTATAGATTATTCCAAGCAGTCACCTAGTTCTGTGTTGCTGCTACAGAGATTGAGAGGCTAATAAATTCTTAGCAGATTAGTCCTGAGCTTCCAGCAGTAATGTTGCTAATCTTCTGAAGGTAGACATTTTAGTAGTTGTGCTTTTATTCTGGGCTAATTCTGCAGATAATAAACCTCATGTTCTCTTGACTTACAATGTAGAAATCCAGAGGATTCTGGAAGTATCAGAGCAGATTATAAAAGTCTAAATGTGTTTAAATGGCTACTTTAATCTTGCAGTCTGGTGTACTGGTTCTCTTTCATACTTGAAGAGTTAAGAAGTATATTGTGACCTTAAACCCAGCTGAAACACTAATTTCTGCTTCTGTAGTCCATGAAATTTTATGCTTGCTGCCTTTGCAATTAATTGTCTTAATTGTGAGGAAGGCATTGTATATTTTATTCCACAGAAATTACCAATTTTGATAAAACAAACTGAATTGGCAGTGCGTGTTTCTGCCTGTGGAAAAACCAGAGAGGTTGAACAACTGCTTGCTCTGTTTGAAACGGTCTCTGCCGTGCTGTAAAAGCATGAGCCAGGGCCAACCAGCGGATTTAACGGCAAATTTTCAGTCTCTAGGTTTGGTCTTTAATGTCTTTAGTTCTTGTAAAATTGGCTGGGTGCTTAAGAACTTTGATTATGTCCAGTTTGCATCCCAGGATCAGTGTGAAACTCCAGGTACCCAAACTGGAATTGGTGTCACATATGGGAATTCATTAGGACCTTGTCAGGGAAGAGCCAAAGGTCTTTGAGCTTAGAATCGGGATTTCCATTCTGCAACTCATAAAAATAAGTCCTGGTGGATAGTTCCTGTGCAGAGTAGTACGATCTGCCTTTGATCTCTCCTAAAGGAGTAGAGATATGTGACAAGACTCCTAAATTTAAATATTTTGTCTCTTCAGATTTTTTTTTTTCATTTAAGTTATCCTCTGTGTTGGAAGCATTATCTGAAGTAGCTCACTTGTCTTGTTTCTGTTAATTTAGTAATGGCTTTTGAAGCTTCTGCCTCTCTTGGAAGGAAAACTCTATCGTGTGTAGACTTGAAAGCATGGATTTTCACGAGCTGTGCCAAGTTCCTGCAGGAGGTTTCCCATCAGAGGGAACGTTGGGAGACTTGGCCAACAAATCCCATCTCCCAGCCCCGCTGCCGTGTCGGATGGTACCTGTGTCGCTGCTGGAGCCTCCTCAGTCTGTGAGTACCAGCAGCACAACCTCATCCAGGGTACTTCAGGTACCGCGACAGGACGGTAAGTGAAAGTCTCACCATGTGGTTACAAAACTACATTGTGTTTTTATTTAGAAAGTGTGGGTTTAGTTATTTTTAGCAAGAACTATAGTAGCACTGGCCTCTAGTTTTAATACGGTGTTTCCTGGGCACTTTTCTCACAAGTTCTCTACTTAACTGTGGTTTAGAAACTGATTCTAAATTTCCATTCTGAAAAATCAGGCAGCTGTTCTCTGAGCACCGATGACCAGAGTGTACCTCAGACTTTAGCATGGGCAGTAACCTTCTGCCAGTTACCTTTTGGAGTTGATTCCCTTGGAATTGTCCAGGGAAAAATAAACCACCACTCCCCCCCAAAAAAAAAAACCAAACCACAACACAAACCACCCAAAAATAAACCCCCAGAAATACATAACTGTAGTTAAGGCTTGGCAAACTCATGTGAGTGAAACTGGGTTGTGGTGAGCTGAAGGCTGAGCTGCCAAACCTGATGGTGTAAGTGCTTCTTGGGCACCCAGCTGTGAGTTACCTGATGATTAAAGAGCTGTTTCACATATTAATTCTGACAAACAAAGAACATGTGTGCTCACATCCACCAGTTGACAAGTGGTAGTTTGTTCTGCTGCTCGTATCTTATTTGCTTGTTTGTAGCACTTTCCTCAAATGTTGATTTCCAAGTAATGGGTATTTCACAAGCTGCAGATTTAAGACAAAATTAAAAGCTGTGTTACTCTTCCTGCTCTGATCTTTTGTTTTGCCAGAGCGCCAAGGCAGCGTGATTTAGTTCAGTCTGCTTAGGCTGTAGGTAAAAGCATTATTAATGCTCCCTCTTCTGGTTTGGGTGTTACTACGGAACCTGCTGTATGATGGGGAAGGGGCATCATCGTGTGGTAGCGACAGGGTGGGGAAAAACAGTGGAACAAAGAGATGGGGGCTGCTGTTGCTGCAGCTTCTGCTCTGAACAGGCAAGTGAGGAAAAGTGGAAAATAATACAATATTGTTCAGATGATGGACACTGCTGGTGGTGGATTGCTTGCCTAACGGGTTTTTATCCAGTGGTTATGGGCTTGGGTTGGAGTTTTTGTTTGGGGTTTTTTTTTTTTTCCCTTGGTTGTACTGGGAAAGATTATCCCAGAGACGCTTTTCAGCTTTTTCAAACCTTGCCTGGCTTTGCTTTTTTTGGCTTATGTAGTGTAGTGTATGGGTGGAGAGCAGACTGGAGATAGTGGGTCTGAACTTTGATTTTACTTAAATCTGAAGCATGTTTCCCTGTTTAAATGTTTGACCTCTTCTCTTCTGGCAGTTGCTGAAACCCTTCACAGCTGTGGGTGCCCCAGCTCTTGCATCCTGTGTTGCAGCAGAGCCTCTGTGCAGATGGGACACCCAGAGAGCATGTCCCCAGCGTCCTCCCGGGCTCTGGCTCCCACCTCGTGCTCTGTCTCCTGGTGAGAAGGTCACCATCCTGTGCCCTCTGAATACAGATAGGAGCGAATCATGGAAACGTACTCAATTTGTTGTATTTCATTATTGTACACAGATATTTTTTTGCCTGACACTTTTTTTGAATTTTTGTATTTTCAATGGTCAGATTTGCAAATAAAACATCAGTTGAGACTCGGTCAAAACTAAATGTTTTTAAAAGAGGAAATTTGGGGAGAATTGCTTCATAGTCACTCATTTCTGCCAGACAACCAGCAGCCTGGGCTGATGCCTGAAGCCTGAGGTGTTTGTTTGTTTAATTTCTGTTTAGGAGAGTGCAAGGATTGTCCAGTAGGAAAGGGACAGTTGCCTTCAGAAATACAGAAGGGGGGAAAAAAATCCCAAGTGTGCTAACACATCCTTGCAGCTGTACCCGAGGATGAGCTCTCCTGTCCTCCTTTGTGGAGGTCTGGTGTTTTGCTGCTGTGAAGGTGGAGAAAATATAAAAAGGGGTGAATTGAATAGAAAAATAGACTTTTACACTCTTCATAACCCACTTGATGTGTCTGATTAAAAAGCACCTCTGGCTGAAATCAGACCTGCAGCTTCCACAGCCCAGCACTCCCAGGAGTGCCTTGTCCACCTGAGCCTGCGTGGAGGCTGAACAACAGAGGAACAAGTCAAACTAGCACGACAGCACCCATTTAAAATTAAAAAAGCACCCCAAATCATCAATGCACTGCTCATGCAGCAATAAAGCAACTTGAAAAGTCAGCCCAGGGTGAGCTTGCTGTGGGTGGATGGGGCTGTTGTGACCAGCCACGGTGTGAGAAGGTAAGTTTTCTTGGGACACCAGAGAAATCCCACCTCAGCAGGTATTAAAGCCACCCACAGCAGTTTTTCTCACTGGGAGCCCACCTCAGCCAGTACTAAGGGCCCTCACTGTGTTTTTTGGGGTTCAGAGCACACTGTGCATCTGCCTCCAGCTGGTACTAATGGCACTTACTTGTGTTTTTTTGGGGAGCTGAAGTGCAGTGTCCCCACCTCAGCTGGTATTAAGTACAGTCATGGTAGTATTTTGGGTCCAGAGCGTGCCTGTGCCTACCTCAGCTGCTATCAAAGGTACCCGTGGTGGCTTTTTTGGGCCCAGAGCTCACTACACACCTGCCTCAGCCGGTTGCAGGGGTATTTATGGTGGTTTTTTTGGGCCCAGAGCACACCATGAGCCCACCTCAGCCGGTATAAAGGGCACTCACAGCGGTTTTTCAGGCACGGAGCGCACCGTGAGCCCGCCTCAGCCGGTATTAAGGGCACTCACGGTGCTTTTTCGGCCCCGTCTGGCCCCGCTTCCCTCACCCCGCGCCTGAGGCGACGCCGCGAGGCGGGCTGAGGGGGCGCGCGTGCGCCGAGGCGGGGCTGAAGGCCGGGGGGGTGTGAGCGCTGGGGCGCATGCGCCAAGATGGCGGCGAGGCGCCGTCGGGGGGGGGCGGCGGGGCGCAGGCGCTGAGGAGCGGCGGGGAAGGGG